AGAGAGACAGAGAGGGAGAAAGAGAGGGGAGGGAGAGAGAGAGGGGAGGGGGAGAGAGAGAGAGAGACAGAGAGAAAGGGAGATTGGTGCCACGTTCCGCGACCGGTGGAGGAAGCGTCGCTTCGAACGGCATTTAATCCGTGAAAACCATCCAAGTCTACTTCCTTTTCAACCTGCTGATGTATCCCATACCTCTCGTCTTCGTCGTCCCCCTCCTCCTCCTCCTCGTCCTCCTCCTCCTCCTCCTGCTGCTGCTGCCTACGCACTTCATCACTTTATGTTCACATCACCCATCATCAAAGCTGGCATATTTCCGTCAATCCACGGCTGAGTTGCGTCGAAGCTCACGCTATCTAAGAAATCACCTGCTTGCTACCCATCACAACAACCCACTCTCCCGTTCGCGTTCGTTTGCTGCTTGAGTCCGCTCTCCGCCATCGCCGGCCTGCTGCCCATGAACCCAACAGCAACCAATCAACGGAGGGCTCCACTTCCCCACGATCCTTCCGCCTGCGCAGATACACCACGTGCAATGACTCCAAAAAAAAAAAAAAAAAAAAAACACGCCAATCGGACATGGGGAAAACGACGAACCGAAAACGGAAAAAAAAGCGAAAACCAATCGAAGGAAACGAAAGAGTAGCTCGGTCCAGCCATGAACTGTTGAAATGCAGACCTGAACCTGACTTCCAACCCAGATAATGGAACTCGATGAGTGAAACCAAATATTTCTGAAGAATCGCCTGGGGCCTGTTTGCTCAATGATGACTTCGAATCCAGATAAAGGACATCGATGAGTGAAACCAAATAGTTCTGAATTGCCTGGGGCCGGTCAGCTCAATGATGAGATCTCAAGGCCGTCTGGACAGCTGCCCTCACGAGGTTCACCGTGGAGATGTAACATTTTTTATTTTATTGTTTTTCAAAAACAGATGTAACAGTTCGCAGCCCTAAGGCTGCGGTATAGTGGGCTTCGGCGTCTGCGTCAAGGTGTCGCATTTTCGGCGGCGGGCATTCAAAGAGCTGGAGCGAAACCCATCATTCGCAGCCCTAAAGCTACATGTAGCGGGTTTCAACGTCTATATCAAGGTGTCACATTTTCAGCAGCCGGCGCCCAAACAAAACTGGCTTAGTAGAGGGTAAAAAATTTTGGGGGACCACTCCTTCGACATATTCCAAACAACCGGCGTCTCGCAATTTGCAAGACGCAACTTCAACAACTTTTTGTGCTCACAAGGGTTCGCAAATATTCCAATTCTGTCATTCAAGGAAAAAATGTCCAATTTTGTCATTCAGCCTCATTCTCTCTCTCCCTCTCTCTCTCTCTCTCTCTCTCTCTCTCTCTCTCTCTCTCTCTCTCTCTCTCTCTCTCTCTCTCTCTCT